AACAACGCGACATCCCTTGCCGCATGGCCATTGGCCAATGCTGAAATAAGTAATTTATAGCAGCTAGTAAGGATCAGGTCAAATTCAGTTCAGATCCAGTTTTGCCAGGATATTGACTGGTGAGAGGCGTCATGCTGCATATAGGTTAACATCGGTTTGGCATCTCATCATAGAAGTCAATCGTCAATTTTTTGGTCCGGTAACTTAATCGTTATCCACGAAAGACTCCAATGACAAGAAATGACCTTAGTTCCGTCATAACTCCTACAACGACAACGTCACGCAAGGTCTCATGGGATCTTCCAAATGCAGAAGCTAAGAAACGTATTGAACCTTGCAACTATGAAATCACGAAATCATGTGCCAGATAGATTATTAGATTGTTTCCATTACTAAACAAGCAGTTCCAGCATGTCTCCATTTTAGATTTTAGCTGGAATTTTACGGACCGATATGACCTCAAGAATATGTAGGCGATAAGACTCGGGGGTTTCCTGCTTCCTGAAAGTATTGTTGTTCCAAATTAAAGATCATCTGTCACTGAAAGTGTTGCAGATTTGAAACATAGGTATTGCACAGTGCAGAGGCTTTATGGCGTAGCTATAGGTCAGTGACCTGAGCATTGAACAACCCTTAATATGTGACTTTATGACAAGGAATAAAGATTGTATCATTCAGCATATTATTTACTTTATTATGCACTAAAATACTCTTGCCGCACGGAATATTTGTTACTAAAATTGTCCTTGAGTTATTTATAATAAAAGGGCTAGCAAAGGCTGTTTACAGGCACGTTTCCCGTAATGCAAGGAAACGTTGCACATAAACAAGTAATTTAGAAGCATAAAGTAACTTGTCAGTGTTTTTTACCCAACAAACATAAGTTACATGACATATTGGTACAAATGATAGCTCATTTATACAACTTTAATATAAATGATACCATCTGTAAGGAAAATGGGAAGCACTGTTTTCTCTTTAATGATTTTGAATCACAAGGTCAACTGGTCGAGGACAGTGTAAAACAGAACAATTGTTTATTAGTTTTGGCGGAAATGAGGCGTTTAATTGGCTGACAGTTTCTACGACCCATTAGCAATTTTACTTCCTAATAATCCATCAATATTGTAATTCTCGTTAAATCTATTGATTCTTGTCAAAAATAGGCACTGTTCACAAAATCGTTCAAGCTACTTCATAAGCTCGCCATTCCATTCAGCGTTATAAGGCATATCAGGACAACTGAAGCACGTTGGACGAAAAAGGGCCTCGCATATGTCTAATGTCTTTGCAAAGCTCGTGGCTTACATTTTGACAGTTTGTGTTGTACCTACCTATATGACTTATGTGGTACGAGTGACCTATACCACGAGGGTCATCCATCGATTAACCCTCGCCGGCCGAGGGGGGGGGGCGGGTGCCGCCCCCCCCCCCCCCATAGGGGTTTTTCGCGATAGCTCCGATCACGCTGGCGATAGAGAGCTGAAACTTGGCATACCTGACCTTTGATTCAAGCCGGATCTTTTGACATCAACGGCATTTTTGGGTCAGGTCAGGTCACTGACCTATGACGTCATAAGTGAACCTCTGCACGGTCTTCAGATGTCGTAACTTACCAACGCCCTCACTGCCAGAGGAGAGCTTTCATAGGGAAATGAAACTTGCAGGATCTAATATCCATCACGAGTCTCACAACTTATTTATCTCGGACTTTTGCTTAAGGTCATATGAGGTCAGGTCATTTTCGTGACCTCACCATTATAAGTCAATGGGGAAAAATGAAAACTGCTATTCTGGCGCCGGGAACGATCTCCAACTACCTCAAGCACACAGAATCGTGATTTGATTCACTCCTTGCAAGGTCACATGCGTCACTTTTGCAATGTTGACCTTGCGTGACGTCAATGACGTCACTAGGATCATATCAGTTTTTCGTCAATAACTCCCGATCAAATTAAGCTAACGAGTCGGAAAAGCCACAAATGGACTCAGGAAGACCTACTGAATCAAATGATATGCAATGTGATCTCTTTCGACCCATTTCGTGACCTGGGGCGCTGACCTGACCGTGACCTGAGGTCAACACCCTAACCCGGCAGTTGCTGGGGTATTTCGCCACCCACCGTTTGCTGGGGAGGGGGGGGGGGGGGCGTTAAACGCCCCCAGCCGATAACTCGAGAACCAATAGGCGCAGCGAAACGCACGAGGCGGCAAACGAAAGAACGCGACGAGGCGCTTCAGATGAGTACTTTAAAGTTGAATTTTGAGGTCACAGGTCGGGTCAAGGTCAGATCAAACACCTGAAATCGGGCATTCAGTAGCATGGACTTCAGGACTTCGCAATGGTCGCCTCTCGTCATAAACTCTGTCAAAACGGTGCACAATCCATCATATAAAGTCTACAAGAGTGTCAGCTCCATGTAGGGGTCAGTCAAGCATAGGTCAGGGTCAAGGTCAGGTCAACGGGGTAGGCACATATCCCCGAAAATCAAAACTGATATTCGCAGCCTGTGACACATGTGTTATGGGTAATTTGGGGCGTAGAATACGATGGTGACATTCATTTTGTCATATGTTTACGTGTTTGGCTCAAAAAGTTCAATTTAAGAAATGCATGTATCATAGTCGTGAAGTAGTCACGAGAAATTGCCAAGGTTCAGTTCAAGATTTTGGAAAATGCGGTACGATAATCAATAATCGAAGATAGCCATTTGATTGTTCAAGGTATTGGCAGTCTAATGGCGTTTACGGCATGTCTGTATGTCTATTTTGTGATTTTATATGATTTTTTTAACATATGCCGTTTTTGGTCGAAAACTCAGAAATCATGACGTCACTAAAACCTCGATATCTCAAAAATTTCCGATCGATTTTTTTGAAACTTTGTCATAATAGCCTTCAATCAATTCCCTACAGCCGATTTTATGCTATGGCCCGGCGAAAAAAGTGGGGGCGTTTACCCCCCCCCCAGCAACTCGCGGGTTAAAACGGTTGATCCGTGTTTGAGATAAAATTCGACTATTTTGGTTTTTTGTTCATTATTAAACGGCTTCATGACTGACAGAGCGCTCGTGCCATACAACACAATTTGAAATTTCCATGAACCTCACTTTCGATTGACGTTAAAATTTTACATGTCACGCGCATATATTTCTTTGTACTTTTAATTTAAATGTGGTGCTCTTTCTGGGACACCCGGTAGTTTCCGAGAAAAAACGCACGTGAATTTTCGCTAAATCGATTTAGACGTGTCATGGAGACGTAGTGATTGAGGTTATAATCACAAGAGGCACCAACAAAAGGAAACGACGGGAAAGGTGGAAATCCCTGAAGACGTCTGTTTTTATAATAATAAACATTGTAGTCCCCTTGTACTTGTAGTGCCAAACGGAAACGGAAACGACGGGAAAGATGGAGATCTCTGAAGACGTTTTTTTAACCCTATTCCTGGCGGGCTCCGCCGGGACAAGAAACTGGCGGGGGGGGGGGGCCGATTCGGCCCCCCCCTGAGATCTCGAGAACGAAGCAAGATAGCGACAAGCGGTAAACGGCATCGGATACGCACGGCCAAGATCTACAATTTTTACTAAGGTCATTTTCAGGTCAGGTCAAAGATGACGTCACAGGGGTCGAAAAAGTCAAAATGGCGGCACTAGATATGGAGAGAGTTTTTCTCGAATAACTTTCGAATTAGTCAAGATAGGAACAAACTAAGGGCATCATCGTGATCCTCTCGTCAATCCGCATCGAATGATATATATGTTGACCTCGAAAGGTCAAGGTCAAAGGTTGACCTCAGGTCACGTGACCTCGAGGTCATCATGTATATCATTCGATGCGTCTTGACGAGCTGAACACAATGAGACCATCCACGCGTCTGTATCTTGTTCCTGTACGGAGTTATTGGCCAAAAACCTTTGGTGACCTTTGATGACGTCACATGACCTCACAGCTGCCCAACAGCAAAACAGACCTCAAGGTAGTGAAGGTTGATCGTATATGAAGTCATGTATGGTATATGGGGCCATTCCGACCCGTTTTAGTGGTAAAAACAGGGAGTTGATTTTTCCCCCATTGACTTATAATGGGGAGGTCGCGAAATTGACCTGACCTTAGGTCACCGATATCAAAATTCCGAGATATACAAATTGCACATACTGGTACCCTAACTAAACCCTGAAGAGAAGAACTTGATCGGTCAAAAACTCTAGCTCTGGCGTGATTGCAAACTTTTCTGAGGTAGCGTCACCAAACCGCCTCTGGTGACCTGACCTGAGGTCAGGTCAACTCAAAATTTTCAGACATGTTGCGTAGAAGCCTTTTAGGAAAAGTCAGAAAATTTGAGCTTCCTAGCTCAACGCGTTTGGGAGATATAACCAAAAAACCTCAGGGGGGGCTCCTGAGGCCCCCCCCGCCAGGAATAGGGTTAATAATAAATATTGTCGTCCCCTTGTACTTGTAGTGCCAGATATAAAACGTAACTCCTAATCTAATTTTTGCGGGTCAAATGCATCTTTTTACGAAGGCGTTGACATGAAACGTTGTGGTATCTCAACCTCAAGCATGTCGATGACAACAAACTATAATGCAGCACCTGGTATAAGGGCTGGGCGTGCCCAGACGGAACACATTGCATTTAGCTGGCCATTGTTTACATTCGCCGTATGATTAATGGTTTAAGTGAATGACAACCAGGAAATTTTTTCGCGCCTGCTGCAGCTATTCTTACACTGCATTGTCACGATGCTTTTATAAATTTAGCGGAATTCCCGGCTGGCGATACAGAGCGGGGATATCGGCATCTGAATCTGGAGCGAGTGGACAGCCCTGCTGGCGTGAAAGGCTCTCCGGAGCCGAGGTCGTCCGTTCTGGGTACGTACCCGAACGGACGGCCCGGAACGGCCGGCCCGCTACGTCAGCACGCCCGCCCCCCCCCCCCCCCCTGCGTCACTCATCCGTCTGCGAGGCGAGGTATATAAGGTAGACGGACCGGTCTCACCGAGTCCAAACAGGCAAACAGTGCAGCTAGAGAGAGGACAGACGGTCTCACACGAGAGTGGTGATAGAAACGAGAGAGGAGGGGTGGTTCAACTGAGGAGAGGGGAGGCGGGGCAGTGGCTGGGAAACAACAGGTGAGCGAGCTAAATAAATAAGGAAAGCGATCTCGAGACAACATCTCGGCCTTGAGCTTCAGATAGTTGATTTTTTTTTTGTGGCGAAACGCTCATTATTCACTGTGTTAGCATGCTGTTTACAAGGTCAACATACTAATAGCGTTGTTTTGTAGCACATTGTAATCAATTTCTACATATACTCTTTAGTATGTTTTTATATGGTCAACTTGCTTTAACGATATGGCAAACGTGAGAAAACAGAAAAAGCCTTTCATCTGGTATCCTGTTCAATAAATTAAAAGATGTAATCAAACCTTCTCCTTCAGAAGTATCCGTCGCCTTCGGGTTTTTCCTTTTGTCTTTCTCGTCCGCTCTCTCCCAACTGATATGATCAGGAACATGCCTTCTAGTGAAATCTCAGTCTCTAATCCTTCTCTCATGTGCAGAGCAAATAACATCCTTAGCTGGTTTTCAGGAAAGCATCAAAGTGAGAGAGTTCTGACTCACCCTCTTACCGTCTGTGTTGATTTCAGGCGCACCATGCGGCTTTGGGCGGTGCTGATTGCGCCGGCGATAGTCGCTCTCTGCGAGGGCGTCTGGCTGAAAGGAGGCATCCCTCACTCGGGTTTCGTCTCGAGCAGCAGTAGCGGCGGCGGTGGCAGCCACAGCAGCAGTATCAGCAGCGGCGGCTGCTGCGGCGGCAGCGGCTTCAGCAGCAGCTTCAGCAGCTCCTTCGGCGGCGGCCTTCCTGGTGTATCTGGCAGCTCCAGCGTCCTAGGCGGTGGTCACCACGGTCTGGCGGCCATGCACGGTCACCTGGCAGGTCTGAAGGGCGGACACACCGGCTCCCTGGCGGCCATGAGCGGTCGTCTCACCGCCTTGGGTGGCGGCGGAGGACTAGGTGCGATGGGCGCCCGCCTCACTGCCGGAGGAGGAGGAGGAGACTCTCTTGGAGGTCTGGCGGTCAGGGGCGGCTTCTCACCACTGGGAAATGGTCAGGGTGGTCAGCAAACTGCCGGACTATTTGGAAACTTGGGAGTCCTAGGGGCTGGCCAAGGAGACGCAGGCGTTTTGACTGGCGTCACTCAGGCCAGTTCGGGTTTTGGGCAGGCTCAGGGTTTCGGCGGCGGCGGCGGCGGCGGCAGCAGCAGCAGTAGCAGCAGCTCCAGTAGCTCCCAGGTCAGCGTTGGTGGGAGTCCAGCAGCGTGTCCCACGTGTCAGGGAGCTTTTGGAGGAAGCGCATCTTCGACCCTCAATCTCGGTCAGGGTGGAGCCTTCGGCGGTGGGGGTACCGGTTCACAGAACAACCTGTTCTCCTTCGGCCTGGGAGGGCTGGGTCTTGGCGGGGCCAGCCATCACCTTCTTGGACTGGGAAGTGGACAGCAAGGCGTCTCCCTAAACTTCGCTCAGAACGGAGCTAACCAGGCGCAACAAGTCCGAGTTCAGGGAGGGCCCGAAGGAGAGTTACCTGGTCTGGGCAGTCAACAAGGTGCTGCTGAGCTAATTCCAAGTGCACCAAGTAACGGAAATGCAGGCCCGGGTGTTCAGAACACACCAAATGCTAAACTGAGTGGTAAAAACGTTCGCAATGAAGAAGGTTTAGAGGGTCAGGCCAGTGCTCCGAGCAGCCAGGGTGTACCCTTCCCAAAACAAAACGGTGGAGCTGGCAGAGTTGGAGGTCCAGAGAATAGCCCGTCAGGAAATAACGGCATAGGCCGGGGCGGTGCGCCAAGTGGTCCTAGTGGCCGTGGTGCTGGACCAGATAGCCAAGGAAATGGCCAAAATGGTCGAGGTAGCTCACCCGGAAATCCAAACGGCCGGGGAGGCGGTCCTGATGGTCAAGGTAGTGGCCCGGGAGGTCGAAGAGTGCCCTTCGGAGACCCGAATAGTGGCAGAGGCGGTGATCCAAACGGTCCTTCATCTGGCAACAATCTGGGTGGTCGTGGTGGCGGACCAGGAAATCAAAATGGCCGAGATGGTGAGCCTCCTAGCCAGAGAAATGGCCAAGGTGGTAGAGGAGGCGGCACAGGAGGCCAAGGTGGTCGAGGTGGAGGACCAAATGGCCAAGAAGATGGCCAAGGTGGTCGTGGTGCACCGTTTGGAGGTCCGAATGGAGGCAGAGGGAGAGGTCCAGGTGCTGTTTCAGGCGATAACCTTGGCGGACGAGGTGGTGGGCCAGGGAACCAAAATGGCCGAGGTGGAGGGCCAGATAACCAAGGAAATGGGCAAGGAGGTCGTGGTGGCGGACCAGGAAATCAGAATGGCCGAGGTGGTGGTCCAGATGGCCAAGGAGGAAGTCAAGGTGGCCGCGGAGGTGGACCAGGTGGTCAGAATGGCCGAGGTGGCGGTCCAGATGGCCAAGCTAGTAGCCCAGGGGGTCGGGGTGTACCCTTCGGAGCCCCAAATGGTGGCCGTGGCGGTAATTCCAATGATCCTTTATCCGGTGACAACCTGGGTGGTCGAGGGGGTGGACCAGGAAATCAAAACGGCCGAGGTGGAGGACCAACTAGCCAAGGAGATGGCCAAGGTGGCCGGGGAGGTGGACCAGGAAACCAAAATGGCCGAGGTGGAGGGCCAGATAGCCAAGGAAATGGACAGGGAGGTCGTGGTGGTGGACCAGGAAATCAAAACGGCAGAGGTGGCGGACCAGATGGCCAAGGAGATGTCCAAGGTGGTCGTGGTGGTGGACCAGGAAATCAAAATGGCCGAGGAGGAGGACCAGATGCGGAAGGTAGCAGCCCAGGGGCCCGAGGAGTGCCATTCGGAGGCCCTAATGGAGGCAGAGGTGGAAATCCGGTCGATCCATCCGGTTCTAGCCTAGGTGGTCGCGGTAGCGGACCCGGAGGTCAGAGTGGCAGGGGTGGAGACCCGATCAGCCGAGGAAATGGCCAGGGCGGTCGCGGCGGTCAACCAGACAATCAGAACAATCTGTCTGGTCCGGAAGGTCAGGGCAGCGGCCCAGGAGTCCGACGGGTGCCCTTCGGAGGTCAGGGTGAAGGGCCAACCGGGCATGGTGGTGCGAAACCGAACAAAGGGCCAGCCATTCAACGTGACCAGTTGAGTAAGATAAAAGAAGCTGTGGAAAAGTTAAACAAAGAAATGAACGAGCGCGTTGAAAAGCAGAATGAAAAAATACAGATCAACGGCCCAGGTGGAAATCAGGTCACTCCGGATGGTGGAAGCAGGCTAAACGGACTTCTGCGCGGCACGAACACCAATAACGTGGCCGACAACAGTGTATTTGATGACCATGTAGACGTGTTCGGCAGCGGCCCCAGTGGTGGAAACATTCCCAGCCAAGCGAGCAGCGGCTTCAGCTCCGCTGGCTCCAGCCAGGCGCTGGTGAAACCCCACGGCGTGACCTCCATCAGGCAGGTCAATGGACATCACGCGCACGAAGATGACCATGTGAAACATCACGATGGACATTACGCAAAGCATCCCGGTGTCTTTACCAAACATCTTGGAGTTCATCACGGAAAGCATCACAGTCATCCGCTGTTCAACAAACCCAGTCATTCGATTATCACCAAACCAGGCAATCCAGGCTTGGATGCTATCAGCTCTATGTTTTCCGGTAACCCTTTTCTGCACCAGGCTGGTAACCCGTTGAAGCAGCTGGCGGCTGGTCTCAGTGGGCACGGGGCCGTGGGTGGCCAACCGGGCCTGTCGTTCGGACACGGCCATACATCAGGAGGTTGCTGTGGGCAGCAGGCTCAGCATGCCGGAGCAATAAGTCAGGTGAGACATATGAGTGAAAAATAAGAGCGCGATGTTGTAGGGATTTGGCGTTTCATGAACAAAGTATGGGCTCGATTGAAAATGGCCTCATTGCGTAACAGTAAAATTTCATATCCGAAGATGAAAAGAATGTCAACTGAAAAATATGTCTTGCGTATTACCAATATATTTTAATGTTTTAGCGTGCCCTAGCCGGCGCTGCCCTAGCCACGGCCGCCCTAACCGTGCCTGCTCCCCTGTTTCAGACTTCTGGCGTTCCGGGCGGTGTGAATCTCAGCAGCGCCAGCTCACACAGCTCCCAGGTCAGCGGACCGCTGGGTCTGCCCGGCTCACAGAGCAGCCACGCTAGCTCGGTGCAGTTCTCGGCCCCATCTCACCCACTGCACACAGCGGGGACCGTCCTCCGCTCAGTCGGGTACGGTTAACAGTGTGAAAGGACCTGGCTAGGTCAGGTTGAAAGATACTGTGATATTATGGTGAGACAAGTTGTGTGTCCGTTGTGTTGTTTTGCTGTGCGCCCTGTGTGGCAGAATATGCGTCAAATACATTAGTATATTGTGCTTTATGTAAGTATTTCTTTATGTGTTATGGTCAAAGCGGTGTTATTCGAGTGATTGGTAGTCTAGGATACCACTGATTCCACTGTGTCTTCACGTGCGTTTTGCACTTGAACGAGCATTGGTGAAATCGTTGTGTGGCTGCTTGCTCCTTGTAGGACATTAAACTAATAATTATGTGCTTTTGAATTGTTATTTACTGAGTTACTTTTTGCTTTCGTGTATCTATGTCTTCACTTCAGATGATTTTTTTGGCCATGCGTCTTGATCTCAACAGCACCAAGATGATAGATAATAAAGTGTTGCAGTGCACTTTTCTCACTTTTTTAAATTATCGCGTTAGTACTTTTTTAGTACCTTCCTACCTACCGCTTTTGTGTCCGGAACATACCATCTTTATTTATGGGTTTCGACAGGGACCAAAAAGATCTTTATACGGTCTAAGTTGATCGTACATTCTCCCCGGGCCCAGCCGAAAGGTAAGATCGCACATCTGAACCAGAAGGCTGTTTCCGAATTTAAGGCAGCAGTGACACGCAAATAAAAATGCAGTTGACCTTAGGTAACAATGCAAATTGATTTTGATGGCATTACTATAATAATTTCCGAAATTATTGCAATCTCTACTGGCATCCTGAATTTTACCATTGAAGGTCGATAATTTATTAACCCTCGCCGGCACAGGCCATTTCGCGTCCTTCGACGGCACAAGGGGGGGGGGGGGGTTGGTACGACCTCCCCTCGCGTTTGGCCCCTGATCGAGCTAGAGCTTCGCAAAAAAAAAACGAGCGTGCTGCCCGTCACGAGAGGAAGCCGATGATACCCAATTTTAAGGTCCTAGGTCATCGGGTGACCTTCCAGGTCAGGTCAATGACCCGAAAACCGGGAAAATCGGGACCTGTTAGAAAGTCGTAGTGTGGCTGTTATGTGGTTTTCCGGGGTGCTGATCACGAATATCGTGTTAGTTTTGATCAGAGATGATGTTTTTAAGCATTTAGTCCAGGTCGGGTCAGGTCAGGTCAGGTCAACCGGTAGGGGTTGTGACGGGTATTCGTAATACGTGTCAACCGCCTCTGACAGCTTCGTAACATGTTACGAAGGCACCAAAACTACTTCGTAAATGTTCAAATGGTTGCTAAATTCGAATTCAGCTCCAAAAACTAGCCTAGAAACATGTAAAACTCGAAAAAGTGAGCCGAGGTCACCCGAGGTCACCAAAGGTCAATGACCTGACCTGACCTTCAGGTGACCTTGACACCCACCCTAATGTATGGGAGCAACATCAAATCACATGTTTGAACGTTCGAAACCACGAAAAGCTTGCAAACGCGCGGCTAATGCGAGCCGACATACGCCGAATCGCGATTTCGGCCAAACATGGTCACGGATAAGAGGTCACAGGTCAAAGGTCATTGGGGTCAGGGTCATGAAATTTTTAGGAAACGTGTAAAATTGATCAATGCGAGGGTACTGAAAGTTTCGTCGCGATCGGCCGCTTTTTACGCGAGTTATTCGCGAAAAACCTTAGGGGGGGTTGCGTCAACCCCCCCTGTGCCGGCGAGGGTTAAAGGAACCAGAATATAATAAATCGGTGAATGAAAGATACTGAACATTCCGAGGAAAAGGCAGGAAAGAGACTACGCGACGGAAGATGGCAGCACGATTTGCCAGTATCACGACCGCAATGACGTCTGGCAGCACTAATTGCCGATTCCTGCGAATAGATGTCGCTTTGATCAGTGCTTCCTCGACAAGTGGTATGGATTGACCCACCGATATGCGTCGATTGGATGATCGCTCAGAATCTGTGTTGTAAGAAATTACATGGTAGGTGTTCTGGTCATATGACATAACATCTCTCCTGCTGGCATTATGCATATTCAAGTGTGCACTCTTCATTAGCTACATGCCTGTTTTGGGCACATAGTTATTATGAAATGTTTCGAGATAGGTAATTATAATGGAGCGAACCTGGTGCGGCAATGAGAAGAAAGCGTCCGCGTCATATCTGAAGTGTGGCCTCGCACGACTCGATCATTACGCAGAAAGGCGATGGCAAAGCATGTGAAGGTGGGAGACCTATCAGAATTCAGAGAAATTGAAAACCTGGGCATGTGAGGACATCGGCTTCCGCAATGTCCTAAGCCTGCATTGTACTTACATAATAGGTATGTATATATTTATATACATAGGTGAGGCTGCAAAAGAATGATGATAAGTAGTTAAACCTATCTCCCCGCACAACATGTGAAATTACTGCTTAACCCTCGCACGACCAGGCCATTTCTCATAACACGAACGACCAGGGGGGGGTTGTTACGACCCCCCCCCCTGGCGTTTCGAAACGGAAGGTCGTAGAGCTTAACGGAAAAAACCAACGGATTGCTCTAAACGAGATCTCGCGATTGGTGGTATATTTTTTGGTCCTAGGTCAACATTTGACCTACTTATGACCGGTCAAAGGTCAAATTTTCCGAAAAATCAAACTTTTTCAACTTTCCGCGGCGATTGCGGCAAAACGGTGGGAGATATCGACTTTAAACCTTCACTATCGTGTTCCTTGATCAATTCTATATCGTTTGGTATGTATTTCGTTTCCCTAGCTCTAAAAATGGCGCGTTGGGAGCGCCGGAAGTCGGCAAGGTCACAGTCGGCGGCAGAAATTCGAAAAATCAAAATTTAAATTTTTGAAATCTGATTGTATTTTTGGATTTGGGAGGTCCATTTGCTCCCTATAGAAGCTAATATTGCTGCATATTCCCATTGAGGTGACAAGAATTAGCAAAATAGTGGTTCGGGCGCTTTTCAAAAATAGTACCGGACGCTGTTCCTCTTGTGACGTCATAGCTCCGTGACCTGACCTGACCCGGTCAAGTTTCTTATACCATATGATAGCCAATACTTGCCCCAACATGCATGGGAAGTTTCATCACGATCCATCAACCGATGTCCGTACCACCGGCAGGAAACCTCGGGCGTTGGCACTCAGTTTGTGAAAATCCGGCCGGAGGCTGTTCCCTTTGTGACGTCATAACTCCGTGACCTGACATGACCCGGTCAATTTTTTTTTATCAAAAGATGCGCAAGGTTTGCCCCATAAGGTACCCAAAATTTGGCGGCGCTGCGCGCCGCCGTTTAGCGTGCACTTCGAAAAAACCTCAGGGGGGGGGGTTGATACAACCCCCCCCCCTAGGCGTTCTAGGGTTAATGTTGATAAATACATTGATAACCTGACAGCCAACAAAAGAACAGCAAATCAATCAGACATGCATTAAGCAGAGAAGCATGCTCTGGATTTTAACCCGCGCGGGGCTGGGGGGTAAATTTTACCCCCCTCGCGAATTTTTGCAATATCTCAAAAACGGCGGCGCGCAGCGCCGCCAAACTTTCAGTACCTTTTCTTACATCAATTTGACACCTTCCCTGAAAAATTGAGCGAAATCCGTCGGAAAATTTTTGAGAAATTGACGTTTTAGTGACGTCATGTTCGCCATTTTCGCCTCAAAAACGGCAAAAGTTCAAACGCCGCTAACATCTTCATTTTTAAAGGAATCAAGACGTAACAAAAAAGGATATACGTAATTTTACTTTGTCTATCAAATGGCTATCTCGTTTTTTTGAAAATTTTGGATTTTGGCCCAAATTTTTTTTTCAAGAAACTGACTTTTTTGGGAAAATAGCTATAAAATCCAAAATTTTGAGTGTATCGAAAAAACCGAAATATATGTCAGAGAAGTGGTCTATGTGCACCTACATACCAAGTTTTAGAAGAATCGGTTCAAAAATGTGGGAGTTATTCAAAATTGTATGACGTCACGACACACAATTTTTTTTTGAAAAATGACTTTTTTGGGAGTTCTAGACTTCGTACGGAAACAAAAGTAGCACCATTCGATTCGCCGTGAAAAACTGCATTAGATAGATACCTTTTTAGGCCTTAACAACCAACTTCAAAATTTGACCTCACTTGACCTGACCTTGACCTGACCTCGACCTGAAATTCATCCAGAGGTGGTCCATATCACTTATTGAGTGTGCTTATTGAATTCTATGCGTAAAATGACCCATAAAACATGTGTCGCACATGCCCTTTTCTATATTTTGTTTTTGGTGACCTGACCTGACCTGACCTGACCTTGACCTTGACCTCTGAATGATATTGTATGCAACGAATATTGTCTTGGTAGCCTAAGAACACGTTTTGGGCGATCAGTCTCAGTCCATGACTCCATTCTTCGGCAACTACGGTGCAAGGCCGATACTGTAGGAACTTGCAATTTGTACCCTTGACCTGACCTTGACCTTGACCTCAAACTTAAAATTAAGTACATGTTTTTAGTTGTTCGTGATGAGATCTTTCGATTGGCGTTTGAATTTTCCAAATCGGACCATTAGTTCGGGAGATAACAGGGGGGGGGGGTAAAATTTACCCCCCCCCCCAGCCCCGCGCGTTCGGCTGGAGACCCCAGCCCCGCGCGGGTTAACAGTCAGCTATCTGCATTCTTCACTCCAGTCAAGATTACAAAAAGTCATCAACATTGCACAATCTCCTCGGCTGCTTTACTGAGATAACTTCAAATTTATCTTGTGTTGCAATTCTAACGCACTTTAGAACTAAGATAATCGACGTTTTATCATGAGATACAAATGTACATATAACAGGCTTATACCTACCTACATTATTTATACCGATCCTTACAATGCTATCCATTTTGAGTTTCAGGTGAAATATCATAGCCACCGTCTCCTCTATAACAAATATCTGCGGCCTGATGGGCAACGCATGAGTCACGCATCAATGATTAAGGACACTCTGGCATATGGTAAAACGAGTTCAACAGATCAGACAAACCAGTTAATTGATTTCCGGCCAAACCTTAGGTGATCTCATCCACCTACGGCCGTGACACCAGACGGGTAGTTGTCCGGAAGGAAAACCACTAATGAGACAAACAGGCTTCGGGCTTAGCTAAATTCGGTGACGCCTCAATAGGATAGGAAGGAAAACAGCTGGCGGAGGGATTGGCGGCGGCATCGCTTTGTCTTGTGGGAGCGGCGACCATTCAAATGCTGCTAAGTTTACTTATGGCGGAAGAGAAGACAGCACCTGAGGCTTGCTGAAATATGTTTTATTTATAGCCCTGAGTCGAGACTTGAGAAGAGCTAGACTCAGATCAAACGCCGACAACGAGAGTCAGATATGATCGGAATGAGAACTGGCAGGTAGGCTGTACCGCTGAGCACGGTAGTGCTGCGGCACAGCCTACCCATCCGAACGGCCGGAAATGCGCTTAGCTTGCGTGCGCCCATGTATCTTGGCATTCTATAGAGACGTAGGACCTAGCTACCGCGTAAACTGAAGTTGTTTGTAAGAAGTATAAATGAATAATATTACTGGTGCATTATTCCAAAAAGCAATGTTGTTGACGTCTCAGATTTGACGCGATTTGAAGTGACATCCGACATAAAGAGATCTATGTAGATATCAAGGGTGTAAATCAAAGCAGTGATGAGGAAAGCCATAATTTTTTAGCAGTTTTCAATGTGTTGAGAGACACTCAATTCAAGGGACACAGAAATTAGTTCATAGCCTCTTGTTACTGAAGCACCTACCAGTTAGTGAGCAATATCATCCTCGAATGTCAATTCCTGCTTATAGTTATCGAGCCGACTGTATGCTCCATTCACCATGGAAAATCCAGAAGCCCTGTCGGCACGAGCCGTCACTAACTAGTCGCCGTTCATTCGTACTTTTAGCGGCTGATAAGCACGAGTCTGGTTTTTATAACTCCTTATTCGTCGCGTGAGGTGACGCATGCGTTTGGCGGGTGCCGTCCTCTCTCTATTTCTACGGCCGTCTACCGTTAGAGCCCGTGCCCCGTGCATTCAAAGTGCCACCGCGAGACCACCACCCGTGCTGAGTCACCACCTTCTGCGGTAACAACGGCACGCGAGCACACCTTGGGACGGTCACAGCCGCGTCCTGCGTGGTATGAGCGTGGGTGTATTCTTTTTGCACTGCAGTCCTGGGACAGTGTCGTAACTGGGACGATACTTTTGGATAGTGCAGGAGCCAGGCGGTACCATCGTATGGAATTTCCTCACGTGGTAACTGCGTGAAAGCACATATTCTGACAGAAATAAGAAACGCTGGAATGTGTTGTAAAGTAAAGAATGGATAGGGCAGAGACGTTGCTGAATCACGACAGCGTGAGTAAAAGGTCAAATCGTGTCTTCCATACAGATTTGTCGTGAGTTAGTGTAATGATAAGACAAAAAATATCATATGTAGACAGAGATAGATGTGTTAGAGGTAGATGGACGACGCCAATTGTTTTGTTTGCAATTTATAAAATCATTTTGTTGCTGGGCCTAGCAAATGAGTGAAAATGCCTTTTCCAATGGCATTAGCAATTCTTGTTTGTTTGACCTTTTTTGTAGTTAAGGGCAGGATCAAGAAAGAATAGCAATAAGCATTGCACTTCCTGAAAGGCTATCTCGCAACTGAAACTCAATACACAGCCAAATTCTGGGCCCCCTGTTTCACGAGTCCACAATAAAACTACAAAATGATTCCAGCTAAAAGTATCGATCGTTACAACAATAACAATAAACTTTACCGCATTGTCTTGCACTTTTTGTGTGTAATGATTCAAGTGAACCAGATCATTTTTTCATGTCAAATTTGAATGGATAATGCACTACCTGCACACAATAGATAATCTATTCGGTCGTTCACACCCAAGGAAATGGATGTAACTTTAAAATGAAAATTACCTTACCAAGAAGTCAAGTCGGAAACAGGTGAAATCAAACCCTGGCAACACAGTCTCTCGTTTAAATCGATGATTTTTTAGCTGGCTTCCGCTCAGAATAGCTTTTTTGATTTAACCGTATTTTATCTGTTGTTCTAAATTTATTAATAGTCATAGCAATTGACTTCTTTTTATCAACAAATATATAATTATCATTAGGGATAAAAACATGGACACAATATGCCATGGATAATTTTAACAAAAAGTCACCAATTTTTTCGGTCGACTGGTGGAAACTGCTGATAAATGTGTATGCAAGTACTGAAATAATTATTAAAGGACTCGAAGAATCAACATTAAATGCATCACAAAGCAATGTAGTACTGCTTGTCTAAATCTGAGTAACCATCGTTGATTCATTTCATGCAGCCAGGAATCCTCTCGAACGAAACAGTTTATTGGCCGGTGCATCACAAATTTCCTTATTAACATCTTAAAGTAAGGTAAACAAGCTTTTGATTGATGCTAGTAATTTCTGTTTACATAAGAACAAGATGAGATGAGTAGTTGTTTGTCCGTCCACCACCTGGCTTGCGTGACTCAAACACACATATCAAACACCCATATACAGTGCTTTTACATTGAGCACTACAAACAAACAACACATCCACCGGCCATCTACCTATGACCAGTCCATTGTCTGTGTGATTTGGGCGTGGGATTTCCGGTGATCGCGGACCGAGGAACTGCACAGGCGGCGGGTGATACCGCCCCCGGCCGTGACCTTCCAGTATCGGAGGGTGAACTCGGCAGCTGCAGCGGTGAGGCACCAGGTAAATCGGCGCTGGGTCGCGTCGGCCGGGCCGGTCGCAGGTCGAGTATATATATCTGGCGACGGCGGCGGGCCACCTCCAGTGAGCAGTGTTCCGCGGCGGGTCCGTGGCAGCGATACAGGGTAAGGTGGGGGGTCGGTGGAATGGGACCGAAACGAGACTAAAGAGCGTGTTTTCCTGCTGTTTGCGGGGGTGAAATGTTGTTTTGTGGTGTGCTTGCTGCATTGTTTATTCTCTTGTGTTTATTTTGCATGCAGTTATTGTGTTTTATTTTACATATCATTTGGTTTAAACCATACTTAGATAATTTGAATGAAAGCTGTGATGTTTATAGAAAGAATTTAAGTTCATTATCATTCATGAGTCCCAGTTTGATACTAAGCAATTATAATAGCATATTAAACTTGAGATATACGCAGGAAATAGGAATGTGTAATGAGGAACACTTAAGTCGCTAAAGTAACTTAACAAGATTATAGGGGCATTTAATAGGGCATTTAATATTTATCGTAAGCTGAGCTATCATTGCTCAACTGATATGGAACAGATGAAATCAGCGACAAAGCGAGGTATGATGGTCTAGGTACTGTATCTGTCACAGCTGAACTCAACTTCTACATAGTTACTGAAAGAAGGTTGTACTTAACGCAAAACTAGATGGCTAAACAATTAAACATGTTGCCAAAATTTAAAACAAACAACTTTTGAACTAAATGCAATAATGCTGAGTTCGCTATAACCCTGTTCTTCAGTATTCCTGATCTCAGTCAAGATAAGTACTATTTATAGTAGACCCGACTTTCTCTTGCATAGGGCTCGTGAACTTGCATCGTCTTACTGATATAATCAATTTTTGAACGAACAAATCTTTTTCGATAAGTGTTGGCAGATAAAGTCATTACAAAAAGAACCACTTCATTAGAATCTGAGTTATTTGTATTCTCCATTTATTCCAATTCCGCATTTCATCGAAAGTCGTGCTGTAAAGATAATTGGTTTTTAAACACATCAATAAAAGAATGAATCCTTGCGGGTTCAGAAAGGTGGTTTTGGGCGCTGCGAAGGGAGAATCTACCAAAAAATCTCTAAATTCCAAAAACTGATCGAATTTTGATTCCTAATGCATTACGGCGGAATTTAAAACTTTTTTTCAATATGAACAGTGTTTGTTTTCTTATTCTTTAGTAAACGGTAAACATTCATCAAATTCGGACGCTGCCGGGAACCCTTACCCCGAAAACTCCTGTGGAATCGAAACTAAGCGATTTGCTGAGGATCTTTGCGCGCAACAAAGCTAGAAACCATGCCAATGTCTTTCATGCTTCCAGTAAAATATCAAACTAATAACTAAAAACAAGCTGAACATCCTAAAAGGCGTCATTCATTACTTAGTGGGCATACATCCTAAATCGTTCCCGCACATTTTGCTTGCAATATTGTAATGGATGTGCTTTCCCATCAACATCGGTTGTTATCAGCGTCATAAATGAACACATTAAATTTAAAGCGTCAATAAAGCACAACTTTCCCTGACTTCATCAAGCAGTGTCCTTCACGAACGTTATGAATGGAAAGGCAGCAAACAGGAAATAACAATAGCATTACCTACATACAATGAGAAGATCATATAGCTGAAAGCAAGTAAACAGAAAAGAAAAGTGAACGGTGAACACCCAGTTCATATCGAATGCTCTTTATTCCGAAATAGAAACACTGATGATATTACATACCAGCCAAATTCATATCCTGTCTAGTTAAGCCAATCAATAGATGTGCCATGTGTTTCTAACCTTATCCGCATACCAGACATCAGATTGGAGTAAGTTATGCATACTTGCAGTTGCATCCCATATTGAGCGCACTTAAGTGGTCAGCAGCCTCGATAAATATGTAGCCTAGCATTCTGATTTTTCTCAGTGAGACGGCTTTCTCCCCCAACTTAAGTTCAATCCCGTGAGCGTGATGAATCTTACCTGCCAATTCATATATTGTCCACTTCAAGAGAAGCATGTGCCAGGAGGCATGTATGCTAGGCTGGTATGGTATAAGTGCACCTTATCTAAGTAGCAAAGTGTCTGTCCATCCCCCACCGGACCTAGCCTCATCACAGCCAAGTAATCTTCATCACAGCTGATAGGCTCACTTCCTCCGCCCCCCCCCCCCGCCCCCTGCCAGCGCGGCCGGTTGACTCACCTTCATCTGCCTCCCGTTTCAGATGCAGGAGCTGGCTCTCCTCTCACTGTTGGCGCTGGCGTCGGCGGCGCCGCAGCGCTACGACAACCGCCTCTCGTACGCCTCGGTCGGCACCCCTATCGTGCTCGGCTCGCAGTCGTACAGCGGCGGCTCGCCGTCGTACGGCGGCGGCTCCAGCTACGGCGGCGCCCAGCTGCTGCGCGCGGGGCAGTTCGGCTCCGGGTACAACTCAGGCTACTCGGCCGGCGTCAGCCAGAGGCTGGTCACCGGGGGCTCCGGCGGCTACAGCCAGCCGGTCACCAGTCAAAGGCTGGTGACTGGTGCCTCGAGCCGCGCGCCCGTCATGAGTCAGAGACTGGTGTCGGCTGCGTCCAGCCACGTGAGCTCACCTGTGAGGAGCCAGAGGCTGGTCAGCAGGCCGTCGAGCCATTCCAGCTCGCCGGTGACCAGTCAGAGGATGGTGACCGGTGCCTCCAGCCATGTGAGCTCACCGGTCAGGAGCCAGCGTCTGGTGAGCGGCACGTCCAGTCACAGCAGTGCACCCGTCACCAGTCAACGACTGGTCAGCGGCGGACACAGGAGCTTCGGCAGCCACAGCGGCGCCACGGCAGCTCCCACCCAGCCTCCCAGCAGCGTCTCCAGCTTCTCAGGCAGCTTCTCCAGCTCGCCGAGTTCCTCTAGTCGCTTCTCCAACTCCCGCAGAAACTCCGGAGGATTCTCCAACTCCCTCGGATCCTCGGGCTTCTCAAACTCCCTGGGTAGCTCCAGCGGGTTCTCGAACTCAATCAGGAGCCCCTCCAGTGGATATTCCAACTCCCTGGGTAGCGGCTTCTCCAAGCCTCGCTTGAGCTCTTCGCGAGGTTTCTCCGGCTCCAACAGCTTCCCTACATCTCCCAGCAGCTCCTCTGGTGGTTTCTCCACCTCTCCCAGAAGCTCTACTGCCTTCACTACGTCTCCCAGCAGCTCTACCGCCTACACCACGTCTCCCAGGAGCTCAGTCCCCACCTACTCCACTACTTCATCCCCTGTGGCAACTTCTTCGGGCTCTGGCGGTCCGCCTCCCTCCTTCCTTACCACACCCTCCCCGCCTCCCTCCACCAGCAGCGGGCTGACGGGACCCAGCTTCCCCAGTGCTCCCACTCGCCGGCCCAGCTTCGTGGGCTCCGGTGGTGGGCCACCCATCTCTATCAAACCCCGGCCGGCCGCGGACACCAAGCTGTCGACTGCGTCGACCCCTGATTTGGGCGACCTGGCGCAGCTTTCGACCACAGAGAGTGTGCCGATTGGCGGCGCGCGGAGCCAGCAGCCCATTGGTGGCATTGACCTCGAGAGTCTGGCCCGGATGACTGAGGGCGAGCCGCTGACGGCTGAGCAGGCGCAGATCCTCTTCGAGTCGGAGCAGATCCACATGCTCCTTGGAGGCGGACTGGTGAGTCAATAAATATACAGTTATAACGTAGAGGTGAAGTAATTTGAAGTGAATATACGACATAATTGAATGACTGTTTACAGTAAACGCAAGGCTACCAGTTGTTTGTTTCCGAAGCTGTAGCACCTTGCTTTGAGCAAAAAACTGTTGCAACTTGCATCACTTCATCTATTATTTTGAGCATTTTATAACCTTTTTTGGCAAATATGCTGATGTTTTTCTGTGCTGTAGCCTGTCAATGAGCTAGCAGGCTCAGATTCCTGACACCGACATTGTTTTCAGGGCGCCGAGCCGAGCGGCGTGAGCAGCGTCAAGCGGGAGACGAACCCGTTCGAGACCGGCTCGTTCGATAAGATCATGAGCGGCCTGTTCGGCAGCGGCTCCGTCCCTCCGATCTCGCTGCCGATGAAGTCCCTACCCCCGGGCCTGCTTCCGTCCAGTCCCGAATTTGCGGGGCGCCCTGTCACATTTAGCAAATAAGGTGTGATTGTGCTCGAGTCAGCTCTCTGTGTGTCGTTTGATTTGTTTCCAAATGACAGTGATTTGTCTTGACAAATGTGTGTAGCATTAATTAATAAAGTATTCGAGCATGTTGTGTTGTAAAGTCAAATGTCATGTGATAAAGAATACAAATGATATTGTGCAAAGGACGCGACGAATGTTTTGACAAACATTGCTTGGACTGTGAATACCGCCTACTCCTCGCTTATGGGAGAGCTCAGAGCTATATTTCACTTGAGAAGGAATAACTTTGAACACTGACCCAAAGTACCTTGCTAAAAATAAATTGCTGTAGCTTATACATAAGTGTCTGATTGATAAAAGAGACCAGCTGATAGAGACATTGGTAATTGAAAAGGCGCCGAAACGACATATTTTTCTCCCAATATGCATGTTGCTTACTCATGAGTTGGCGTTTCTCTAAGCAGATTGTTTCACATCCTTTCAATTTCAAGCCAATATTTTCATGTGTGTTACACAGGTTCGAATTGTTTGCTCACCATTTACCCAGATGTTTCAAAATTGATTTGAGGAAGTGGGCTAAGTAGCTGAGCACAAAACAAAAATCAGTCTATATTTGGCATCCAAATTTGGTGACCCACATTACTGATGGCTCCCAAATATCCCAGTACAGGGATACTTGAATTATCGTAAAAAGTCGGCAGAAGCGTTACCCCCTCGCCCCCCCCTTAAGCTCAGTCAACGGCGAGTTAGACACATTTTTCCCTTCAGTCATTACCGGTTAAACAAGAGCAACGATGCCAATGAACTACAGCTCGTGTAATTACTAATTTCTGCACAAAACGACAATTCTCATCACTGTTTCCTAGTTCACACAGGATTAACAACCGCATCGGATCAAACCACAGGCATTGTACAGACAAAGCTCGGGGAAATGCCCTTGTATGCGATCGAGCCTACGACGACCGGGCAGGCTGCAGACAGGGGGAAAGTTCATATCGGAGGACAGCCCGGAAATCTATGAGTCATGAGGATAAATAGACGTGCACAGGACTGATTGTTGATGGCAAAAAAACGACAGTCAAGTTATAGATGAATAGTCATTGACAAAGGGGAGTCATAGGGCTTGGCTGCATATCCAGCTAAATTGCCACCGAATAGATCTTGAACAATGGTTGAAGGCATTAATTAAGATAGCATAGCTGTTAGTAAAAACTCTTAGCTTGGTAACCAGTAATTTCTAAAAAAAAGTGGATGATGTAAACCAAATGTATCGAGAGCGTAAAATGTATGACTTCGCTTCACCGACGCCGAGTCTGTTCGCTGGCAGAATGCAAACGGCTTCCAGCCCTTATAATTGATGTTGATTGCAATGGAAAACGCAGCAAGTGCGACCCTATGGAATATGGCCTAGCATCTCCCAGAAATAGCAACAATGAACGTTTTTCAGAAGCAAGCACCAGCATATTTCATTGATTTATCTATTAATCAATAAGTTTATCTGTCTATTTATTTGTGCATGTATGTACGTATTTATTTATTCATTTATCTATTTTTATCTACATGTTTCAGAAAATCGCTGACGGGATAACCAATTGAGTGACGATGTCAATAGTTAAAACGAATAATTAAAACAGAACCATATACAGGACATTCACATTAACATGCACCATTTGCGCGCGCGCTCACACCTTACATAAATGTGTGGGCACAAAATAATAAAGGTATCAACATAGAATGATATAAAAATAAATAAAAACATGAAAATAACAATAAACTAGCAATACATACAGCGCTATAGTACGGGTAGTGAGGCAACGTACTGCTTCATCTTACTGCGAAAAACGCAACATGTATCACTGAAAATATCCGAGGCAAGAACGCTCGTTAACCCTCGCCGGCCGAGGGGGGAGGCGGGTGCCGCCCCCCCCCCCCATAGGGTTTTTCGCGATAGCTCCGAACACGCTGGCGATAGAGAGCTGAAACTTGGCATACCTGACCTTTGATCCAAGCTGGATCTTTTGACACCAACCGCATTTTTGGGTCAGGTCAGGTCACTGACGTATGACGTCATAAGTGAACCTCTGCACGGTCTTCAGATGTCGCAACTTCGCAACGCCCTCACTGCCAGAGGAGATGTCACAGGGAAATGAAACTTGCAGGATCTAGTATCCATTATGAGTCCCACAACTTGAATATCTCGGATTTTTCCTAAAGGTCATATGAGGTCAGGTCATTTTCGTGACCTCACCATTATAAGTCAATGGGGAAAAATGAAAGCTGCTATTCTGGCGCCGGGAACGATCTCCAACTATCTCAAGCACACAGAATCGTGATTTGATGCACTCCTTGCAAGGATAGATGCGTCACTTTTGCAATGTTGACCTTGCGTGACGTCATTTATGACGTCATCAAGGTCATATTAGTTTTTCGTCAATAACTCTTGATCAAATTGAGCTAGCGAGTCGGGAAAGCCACCAATGGACTCAGGAAGACCTGCCAAATCGAATGATATGCGATATGACCTTTTTCGATCAACTTCGTGACCTGGGGGTGCTGACCTGACCTTGACCTGAGGTCAACACCCCAAGTTGACCTGACCCGGACAAAAAGTATATCATTCGACGCGCCTGAGCGAGACGAACACGATGCTGCCAAAATCGGCGCTCTGCGGCCGTTTTTTGCGAAGTTATTCACCAAAAACTGAACCGTACCTTGGGGCACTTGACCTGACCTCAGAGGTCACCGGTTGACCTAGGACCTTAAAATCGGGTACCAATCTCTGCGTCTCGTAACGGCGCACACGCTCGTTTTTCCCGCGACGCGCTAGCTTCACCAGGGGCGAAACGGCGAGGGGGGGTCGTACCCGCCCCCCCCCCTCGGCCGGCGCGTATGTAGAAAACCAATAGGTCCGGCGAGGGTTAAGAAGCTGTTCATCTGTCTGGGCAGTCTCAGGAAGTCCATTCTTTACAGTGCTCACCCTTGCAAACGGAGCATTCAATAATGTGTGCACATATGCTGTCTGGTTGTGCGGCTAGGCACGCTCAGGGAAAAGGACTGCAAAAGTGCAGAAGCACAGTCAATGCCTATTTAGTAGTGTAGTATGGACGATATCTACCCGTATACCCATTGCGGATGAACATGCTATCATGTCGTGATCTTCTCTCAAATACAGATGTCAGCTTGAAATGTTTTGGTAAGGCTGTGTAAGACAGAGGTCAGAGAGGGTGTTTTAGGCGGCAGTGCGCGTTGAACCACATCAAAAACTTGTGCTCGATCGGCATGACCCTGTGTGCGCAGCAGCGGCTCCGTTCCAAATCACACAGCAATACTCTAGGGTTGAGGGCACATAATAGGTACTTGCATAGCACGAGGCGAGGACCGACAGAACCTTGAGCCTTGAGACATTCTCTCGGGTTGGCTCCAGGACGCCTAGATCGCGATTCGCTTTGACGACGGTTTCATTGACGTAAGGCCCAAATGTCAATTTTGTGTCTAAAATGACGCCGCCTAAATGCCATTTACTGTTCATATTTGTTTACAAATAGTGCGACGCACACAACCATCAAATTTGATAAACTTCTGAGGCTACGTCATTGCAATTGGTGATAAATACGATGTGGCATTCCTAAATTACCTTACAGAATAGCTGCACCGTTTACGTCACTTCTGATTCCAGGACCTATTTCACGTGCAGCAAATGTAAAAAGTCCGGCGACGAAATGGCTACTGATGTTTGTCACATTAAAATTGTCTCTTGCGAGGCCAACTTGTTCCGTTTGGTTGAGCGTTTACGGTCTAGCGTAATGGGAAACGAACTTTTCATACACGTCTTTGGTATCGTTACATAACATATCATGCGATTTGCAGATGCCTTAGCGATGCCAATCCAATTTTGACTGGATTACATTGATAAGCGGCTTCGACAAAAATACTAGGAATTCATGGAACGGAGTAGCACCCATGTCTGTTCCGTGTTTTCCTCAAATAAGGTGCTACTTCATTTCAGCATGCGTGCTTACAACGTCAGGTGCAACGTCTCGTTAGGAGTGCATTTTATCAAATTCCTAAAGGAAGATGACAATACGGTAAGGTAGAGTTCAGTCGACCAGTTTTTGTGGGGGGTCTTATGGTCGATCAGAGCATCTCACGGCCATGGATGAGATGAGATAGGAGGAAGACATTGGACTGGTGGAGCTACCAGCCGTGTGCCGCGGTGGCTGAGCACGTCCCAATAGGATTTGACTGACCCGAAGGACAGTTCGTTCAGCCTGAATTAAAACGGTCACTCTGAGCCGCTTAATGCCGATATGAGAGTTGCCGGCAGCAGCTGGCTTGGATTGCGTTTAACCTGTTCAGAACCATTGCAGAACCATCTTCATAACATTTAGAACCCATATCACTTGAATTCATTCCCTTGTTGCTGCGAATGGTGAGCTCTGCTAATGCCATATACTTTGCTACCTCGTCCTGCAATGTTATCATATGGTGATAGCAATGCTGTATGTATGTATTGCGATAGTTATTCCTCGCTCAGTAGCGTCATCTATAGCTCCATACTCCCAAGTCCCAGGGCATGTGCACACTGCACACAACAGATGACTCGACAGTGCCAAAAGTACAGGTAAACCGTGCTACGTGTTGTTCCAGCTACCCGATATGCCTGCACCATAGATAGGTTATTTGGGAGCTGGGTACGGTGATTTGGCCGGATCTACCTAGGGATTGGAGACTTATGGTTCAAGCAATTACTCTGCAGCGTCATCAATGACGAATTTCAATGTTTCGTATCTAATTTAACCCGCGCCCCACTGGGGGTGGGGGGGCTATTCATAGCCCCCTCCCGTTTTTCTGCAATTACTTCCAAACCAATTGACGTATCGACGCCAAACTTTCACAACCTTCGGCTGCATCAATTTGACACCTTGTGTCAAAATTTGAAGTTCGTAGCTACCATAGGTCGGCCGGAAATGACGTCAGAGTGACGTCATGTTCGTCCGATTTCGACGCAAAACATTGAACCACGACAATCGCTTCCAAGAGCTCAGTTTTTAAGCTAGATCCAATTTTTTGCATGAAAGGACTCAGAATTGACTGCGCTATCAAACTGCCTTCTCGGACTTTCAAAGTTATGAAAATTTCGAAAATTTGATATAATATTATTCACAATTTATATTTTTATATTTTTTCAAAAAGTTTTTGACTTTTCGAAAAAAAAACGGAATATATGTGACAGAACACATGCTTATGACTAGCTCTAGCAAGTTTTAGCTAAATATCTTCAAAAATGGCCAAGTTATACGC